TTGATCCAGTTGAGGTGGAGAGTGAGGAACCTTACAATCGAAACAGATTGGGACATGGAAATTCCTTAGCTAGCATTGTGGGACCAAGTCAAGAAGAGGACTGTCTCTTATGAGGTTTGATGTTCCCATGGAAATAGCTGAATTGCATTAGGAGGAAGGTAGTACACCTGAATTTCAGAGGAAGGCACACCTAATTCCATACCTGAGCTCATGCCCCTCTTCATACTCCTCATTGGTTAAGTGTGAGCATGCTCTGGTGACCCTCCAGGCTTAGTACAGGGCATCTCAAAAAAAGTTAATGCTGCAAGAATTTATTTTTCATGTGTTATATTACAATTGAATGAAAGTTGTTGTACTGGTTAACATGGGAAGAGATTATGCTTTCCAATGCCGAAGATTGTACATAGATCAATGAACTCAGAAGTGAGATGGAAAGATAAATTTTACTTTTGGAAAATTCAGACATGATGAACCACTGCAAACAACCTAAACAAGAGAATCCAGCAAGGAAAGCATTCAAAGGAGCTAGTGAGTCGCAAGTGTATTGCCAGGAGACTCTTCATTCTATTGCTGTTTCTTGGGCAGTTGTGAACAAAAGTGCCACAGGATTCATTGAATGAAAGAATCTTCTTGGCAACTCATCTTTCTCAATCCAGAGTAGGAACAAGTTAGTCAGCAGTAGAAAACCTCGCTAAGCATCTGATGGCATGTTGGTGTTGAGGAGGAGCAAGCCTTGAACATGTACTTTACCTTTTGCAGTCCATTTTATTAGAATGCTATGACCAATGGTCTACCCAGTGTGACCAAGGACCACAAAGGATCAATAATGGTGTGTACATTTTTTAAAGTCTAATTTTCACTGTGCCATATCTCACTTCAGAAAGAGTTGATTTTCATGTCTTTTTCAACAGATGCTTAATCTCCTCTCTTTCTAACTAATGCAACATTTCAAAAATCAAGTTCAATATAATACCAAAAAAGTAATTATTACAGCATTCATTTTTTTAAAGACACCCTGTAGATGAATACATTTAGCTATCTGCCAGAGAGAGGGGCAGCTGAGGGTCCCCCTCCCCAAAAGATTGGAAATGGCATCTGGCATCTGTTGATGGGGAGAGAGTCCATATAGTGTAATGCATATCATTGGTTTCTTTTTTTGCAGTAATTCTAGTTTGAGTGATGCAAATGAAAAGAGTCATAAAACCATTTCCCTAGTGAGTTATGATGTCAAATATTTTATATTTTGGTGAGTTTTCTGGTGAATATTGAATGTTTTACTTATCACTAGAGACTTGTGCAAATGGCTAACATTTCCACAAAAAGAAAGTTTTAAAATGTCTTTTATCAGAATGCTTCAACCATTTCTAGGTTCATCACATGGAAGGAAATGGCAAACCCAGGCAAAAATAACTGGCCTCAAGCAAACATACATGCTAGTCCATCTGAGCCTGTTGCCCATGTTCCTATGGGAAGAGGAGCAGGTAGAGGTTCTTTAAGTGGAATCCTGGCTCAGTCTCGAAGCTATGCACCAGGTGGAATTCTGAGAAATGCCTGTAAGGAGGATTACGCTATTGAAAATACACCAGGAAACACCTCCAGACAAGGTTTTCCTGGTGAAAACACCCTCTCATGTTATGATGAATGTGGATATACATCTCCAAGGGTACAACCAGAGAACCTTCACACTGTCAGAAGTGTTGCATTAGATAGATCTCTTCATGACATTCCACAAAATTTGAAGTTCAAGAGCAGTAATGCCACATGCTGTGATGAGAAGATGAAATTTGAACAAAATGCCCTTTTCAGAATGCAGGACATTGAGAAATACTGGAAAGGTGAGCCCGTGGAAATCATTTTTTGTTCATAGCTACTGATATAGTGGGAAAATTCATAACTTGAATGCCATATTTATTTACTCTAGAATGCATGACCAATTTATTACATGTTCAGGGTGTGTCAGAGAAGACTAACACATTGAAATTTACAAGAGAAACTTGTTTGCTGACCATTCTCAATTTTTTTGCAGATTCTACAAGGTTTGGAATTTTATCTGCCATGAAAATGGGAAATAGCTTATTATACAAAGATTGTGGAACTCTTTTTCACAACAGGCTCCATTGTGCAACCACAATGTGCATTTCAACATGAGTTAGGAGTCAGAGATGTACCATGCTGTAATACAATATTGTGGCATGTGAAAATTTTCCATGAATCAGGATCTGTGGGCAATGCAGAAAGACCAGGACAAATGCAAACAGAATGAACACCAGAAACCATAGCAGCAGTGGCAGTAGCACAGCCTGTCCTAGTCAGTTCATCACTACTCTCAGGAAGTCAGAACAAGCACTTAAACAGGAAAAGCTTCAAATCCTATATGAAAATTCAGTGTGCAAATTAAGTTGCACATTGTACTGAATAACAATGATGTGGAACAGCGCTGGCACTTCTGTCAAAAATTTATTGAAATGATGGAGAAAGACCAAATAGTGATGGGCAATTAGTTTATGTCAGACAAAGCTCATTTCACTTTGAATGGATACTTAAACAAGCAGAACTGTCGATACTGGAGTAATGAAAACCCTTTTAATCTCCATCAGAAGAAACTGTATCCAGGTAAAGTTACTGTATGAATGCCAGTATCATCTTGAATCATAATCAGGCCTTACTTTTTTAAAGAAGCTGGCAACACTGTGACAGTGACAGCTGTGCACTATCAGTACATGTTACAGAATTTCTTTTTGCCAGAACTCCAACATTGTAGAATTACTCATCAAAACTTGTTTTTTTTTTATTAAATGCAAGATGAGGCTACTAGCCATGCAGTCCATATATGCATGAACTTCTTCCAACAGCACTTCCCAGGAAAAGTAGTTCTTATGATTTGGTAATGTGGACTGGCCCCCAAGATCACCAAGACCTCACACCTCCAGGCTTTTTCATTTGGGTGTACCTAGTCTAAAGTGTACTCTGAAAGACCACACAATGATGAACAATTGCAGGTCCAGATTCAAGGGGAAATCCAAGCAGACAAGCACGTTACAAACAATGATGAACTACATTTTGGTCAGGACATGAGAGTGTGTCAATGGTCATGGAGGATATTTGGAAAACATAATTATAAAAAAAGAACTATTGAGAAGGAAAAATATTCATTTTCTCCACAAATCTCTATTGCCTATGTTATCTAAAACCAATTGCATTTCCTATTACAGTTGAAAAATATATATTAAATTGAAATAAAATGTCAGTCTTCTCTGGCACATCCTGTATTTCCATATGTTAGGTCTATGGGACCCACAACAAAAATAGCACATACTAGTTAGACTTTTGAAAAGAACATTCAGTTTATTAAAGAAATGTCTATGTAAGAAGCCTATAAATCAAGTATTGTAATGGTTTCAGACCATAGACCTATGTAATGCAACCTAGGATTAAGCAATTCAGAGGAATTTATGCCTTGATGTTGACACCTTACATTGAGAGAAAGTTACTAGAAAGGATATCTGTCTGGAAATTTACAGAATCCAAGGGTCATGCAAGGGATTTGATTTATAAAGAACTTCAGAAGCACCCAAACCCTTATGAAGCTGCTTTACTCATGGTTTCTAAAAGTTCAGACTTCAACAACGCCAAACCCAGTGGGATATCATACAGTGGTATGTGAGGAGAATTTTATTTCAAATATAATGGCACTGTGAAGCTCCTTCCTGTCATATCACCTCTTTCATTACTTAGTTATCTCTGAGCTTCAAAAGCTCCTCCCCAACCTTGTAGACAGTGCAGGCCTACTGTCTAGCTCAGTTCAAATGGAGGCCTTCTCAACTGCATCCAGAACACACAATGCAAATTTCCAGGCTCACATTGCTGAAGTTTACCATCTGGTGGAAATATGTCAGTTGCTGCTTCCACAACTCCACTATATGGTTGAAACAGGAAAGTTCAAGGAAGTGAGTGTCTCTCCAATACAGTTTGTGTATATTTCATTATATCCTTTATGTGAATTTATTTATTTTTCTTCTGCTTGTTTTTTTCAACTTAACTTTAGTCCTATTAAAAAGGAAATACTTTTTACCCTTGCTACCAGTCAGAGTCAAGTCAGATGCTCCTTTGTCCAAGTTATTACTGGAATAGTTGTCCTGGTCTTCTGTGTCCAGTGTCATATAGTACTGAGTATATAATAAAATCATCTTTTCCAAAATACAAAGTTGGATGAGTTTCTCTTGTCTTACCTGATGACCTATCAACTTTATCTTTTCTTTTTAGGCAGCAAATTGGGCTTCTGCACTTGGCCTACATAAGGAATTCTCTGTCAGAGAGTTGCTGATGCCCCTCATCTTTGAAGACAAAGTTTCAGTACTTGAACATTTCATGGAAAAAAGCCCAGAACATCAAAAGGATTTTGTGAAGTATCTGGACCACCTTTGTGGCCTTTCTTACCATGATTTCATGGATGAAGTAAAGTAAGTCCTTCAATCTCTGTGAAAATTGTGACAATTATCTTGAGGGGGAAAAAAAGAACTGAAAGCCATAATCAGGGTTAGGGTTCAGTTATGTATGCTTCATTCTTCAGTTGCCTAATGAAGGTATGATTAACAGGTAAAGCATCATGGAGATTATCATTTTATGATGTAATGCCACCAGATTTGATCTGGTTGATTGGTTCTTTATATCACTATATTTTTAATGGCTTCATGATGAGTTGGTAACTTCCTAAAACAAGGCATCAATGGAATAATGTTTTCGTAAATGAGTAATAGTAGGGCTCTACAGATGACCACATTTGGCCAGTGGACTAATGCCGACTATGATCTCATAACCATTGGCCAGTGCTAATGCTAAGGCCATTTGTAAAATGTATTTTTTAAAAAGCAAAGAACCATATCTGTTACTTATTCAAATAAGCTTGTTAGGAAGCCATGTTATACTTTTTTTTAAGGCTGTCTCAGTATATGTTTTTTTAAAACAGTGATGTATTGAACAGAACTATTGAAGGTGTATCAATGCATCATAGGCAGAAGAAGGAGGTGCCAGCAGATCCTGGCATCTCGTGTCTGTGGTGAGGGGTGTGACCACCCAGTTTAAACTCCCAACTGGAATATTCCAGCTGGACCAAATCTGTAAATTCTGACCACTTCCTGAGATTTTTTTCAGATTCTTATTCAGCTAGTGATATAGTAATTAGGAGCAAATCTGGAAATGACTACTTTCTAGCTGTTACCCAGTTGGAATGGGTCCAAATTTCCAGTCAGGATTTTAAACTGGGAATCACATTGAAGCTATTAATGCCTCCAATTATTGATAGTGATATCAATACATTGATCAATGCCTCATGAAAGACATACTTTTTTTGGATTGTTGATCAGAGGCATTTACTGAACCACATTTATATGATTTTAAAAGCTTTTATTATTTTGATATCCTTGGGTATCAGCATTAGCAGCTTGCAGACCTGCTGATGGTGCCATACTGGCAGTTGATACTAGTGGTAGCTGATTCATCAGTACACACTTAGTAATATCAAGGGTGTCGTGCCTTAAGTGTGCCTTTTGGAAAATTTTTGTTTATGCCACACCATGTCTTCTTTTATTATCTTTACCTCTATAATTTGTTTTGTTTCAGAAATCTCCCTCTTTTGTCAATGCGAACACTTACAATATGAAAGCAATTGACAGGTTGCAGTGATTAAAAAATTCTGACATGGTTTCTCGCTCTCCTGAAAAACCAGCTCCAGTACACTTAAAACCTCCTTGCTTAACACCATCAATATGTAGAGATGTTATTGCAGAATTGTTGCATGTTTAACCATATATTTTCATGTTGCTGTGAATCCTTTTGGCCTGAGGACTTTGGATCTGTTATTGCCACTGATAAATGGTCATCACCCTCACTACTCCTGTTGCTTGATAGAATCAAGACCTCCTAGAAACTCTTAGACACCAAATTCAAATGCTGCAATCTCCCAAACCCTGGTGCTTGTGTATAGGAGACTAGAGAGGATGGTTCCTGGAAAATCATGGGCTTTGTTTTGTTTTGTTTTTTATCTTTTAACCCTTGTGTGCATATTTCCTTTTTTTTGCACTTTTGTGAACAAAGGCAGTTTTGTGGCAAGAATTATGTACAATTTCAAATTCCATAGCCAAAAAAATATAATATTAAAATGAAAATTATTTCATGTCCCATGAGCTTTCAACCTACCTGCCTTCCCTAGAAGGCTAGTAGGTTACTCTTAACACAGAAGACTGCCCCACCTTAGACTCTTTGCCACATGTTATGTGTGTGAATGGAAGATCTGTATAAATACTAGAGCTAGGAAAGCTATTCCTTCTGCATTATGATTCTAGACAGTTGAAAAAACTAAATGCAGAAGGGTGTGTGATTTTAAGGGTATTACTGATTATCGTTTGATTTGCTGATTTCCCATGTAGGCCTAATAATATTGGCAGGTATCACACCTTCTGAGTTCATAACAGAAGGATGTCTTTCGGTGCCCAATGCATCTTTAATATCCCAGTGTTTACAGTTAATTGACTGAAAGATGTACACCTCTGAGCCAAAACCTGCAGGTCTTATGCTTGGCCCAGTTTTGCAGATCAATGTTTGCTGACACAATATTTATTGTCTGTCAATTTGTTGTCATTTGTGGGCTGTCAAACTTGATTTTTTTGCTTCCAGTTCCATCTCCAGAAGTTCAAGAATACAGCATGAAAAAGTAAACCAGAAGAGCTTTACCAAGCTGGCCAATCGCCTAGTAAAGAAGTATGATATACCACAAGCTGCAATCCCAAATCTGACCTCTAAACGATCAACAGCTTTCATCCGACATCTTGTGCATCGAAGATTCAACTTGAAAGATATCCGTAAGACTAGTTTGTTCATAGTTGGATACAGCCATTGGCATGCTCTTTGGAAGCATGGATGAAAATTTAGGCTTTTTTTTTTAAATAAAATATTTAGGCCATATAGCCATACCATATTTTTTCAGTAAGAATTCAGTTTGACTTTCATCACATGTATGGCAGAGCTTCAAGACTTTGATGATATGGTGAAGGATGTTCTGAAGGAGGATCATGCCACTGCAAATGATCTCATTCAAACATTGTTAGAATACAGTGTGCCTGAGGCAAAGAAATGGGTTGACTACATCTTTGAAGAACTTGGACTCATCATTTCTGTCAACTTACCTGAACTATCACCTGATGTGTAAGTTATCATTTTGCTTGTTTACCTTTGTCCATGGTTGCTCCTCCAGGTGACAACTACCATTCAGCCCACCTCTGAAACAAAAAAGAGATGAAGTAGTATTTGAGTCATGCATCTGTCTAGCTGATTGCCTGAGGTTTTTAGAAGTTAAGAAGGTAATTATTGATTTTTTTCTGGAATAAGTCTTCAGCTTGATTGAAATAGGTTTCCATGATATCATCTCAAGCTGAAATGAGATCATCAAAGGCCAATCTGTAGATCTGAATGGACCATGGCAACTAGAGCATGGCAGGCATTGCCATGGTGTGGGACAACGCATATCCTCTATTGACACTATCATGTGATGATTGCCTCAACTTGTGATGGCACCAGAGCTGGAAGAGTACATCTATATTGTGCATCTACATTATAGCAGTATATGTTTCGCTAGGCTTGTGATAGCATTCCTTGATAGTGTTTAATACATGATGTGAGTTGGAGGTGAAAAGTGTTTTGGAAAGAAAGGAAGGAAGGAAGTTGAGTCAGAAATAAGAAATTATTGGATCACTAAGTACGAGACCTGTTCACGCCTGATTTGAACACTTTTCCCTGTAATGGCATCCTTGCCATCAGATGAAACAATTGACCTTGCTCCATTGTTGAGCCTACTTCATGGCAAGTTGTTTTCAAGTCCCTTTGTGAGAAAATTCAATTCACAATGAAACCACTGCCGAAAGAAGTCGAAACAGTCATATGAACCCTTTCCATGGAGGGAAACTCCTACAGGGTGATTCAGAAGAAATTTAAAAATCGGATGGCATGTTTCAGTCGGATCAATATCCAACGTAATCAACAACATTGGTGAGAAGTGATTGGCAGCTCATCTTGGCTGTCCTGACCCAGTCAAAAAACAGTCTAAGTCTGTGAGGACTAAGGCAATGGTCAAGAAAGTTTGTGATATGGTCATTGGTGAAAATTCAAAGTCCCAAAGAGCGGTGGCAAAGAAGCTGGGAATAAGCCTTGGATGCATCAACCGAATAATCCATGAAAATCTGTGCCTTGTAACATGCAGAAAACGCAAAGTCCACAAGCTTCTCCCCAGACACATCCGCGAAAGAAAGACTCATTGTCGGCAGCTCTATGAGAAGTATTTGGCTGGCGAAAAATACAAAAACGTGGTCACTCTGAGTGAATCACCTATCCATCTCTCTGATTGCAGCAAGACACAAGCCATCTACTATCAACAGAAGTCGGCAGCGGCCGTCAAACCTCTTTACTGAGAGAGGGCAGATCATCGCTGCTGTGAGCTACATAGGCAAACTGTATCTCCGAAAGATTGACACAAAGGTAAAAATCAATTCCAAGTACTATCAAGAACAAGTACTGAGGCCCATGTTTGAAAAAGAAATTCCTCGCTTGTACGGGAAAGCATCTAACCAAGTAAAGTTCCACCAAGACAAGGCCAGCAGCCACTTCTCTAAATCGACTGTGGATTTCCTGGGAAGATTGGAGAAAGAAACTGGAATCGCCACTGTTCCCCCCACTCACATCCCTATGAAGTCACCTGACTGTGCTCCAATGGATTTCTGTGTGTTTGGAGTCCTCAAACAACGCCTCACTTGTTGTAGGGTGTCAACTGTGACTGATTTATGGAAAGCTTGCAAGGAGGAATGGAAGAAACTTCCTCTCTCAGTGATCCGACGAGCCCTTCTCCAATAGAAATACCAGTGCTGAGCTGTGTACAAAAACCATGGCAAGCCTATCGAGCATTGCAAGGCATTGTACAAAAATAAATGAAGGATTTCTTGCAAATTGAAAAGTATTCTAATCAGGCGTGAACAGGTCTTGTACAAAGTAGAAGGATGGAAGAAGGGGTGACTGGCACCTACTTGCACCTGGGATTTAAAAACTGTGGTAACATAAAAGCATGATATTTTAGTGATAGTGACTTGTATAAACATATGACAAGAGCAATGGCAGGACAATGGGCCAAGGCTGCAGTCTTTTACAGATTATTTTCACCATATCATAAACTTGTTTTCAGTTTTTGTCCACAACTCTATGAATAAACATCTCTTGACAGGCCTGCCAACAATGATGAATGGGCTGATTGGGATGCAGAATGTAGCAGTAGTACCCCAGTACCATATTACACCTTAAAGCCACCTGTTGATCAAGTGATCTGGATAGATACTCCTGAAGCTTGCAGGGAGTGTTTTCATCGTATTGAGGTACATATTCATTTTTCAGTAATTAGTTAGAAAGGCATGTTCAGTAACAAAACCTCCTTCAACCCAATACCAACCAAAGAAAGATAAGCTTAATGTTAATCTCATTGATAAATACAGCTTTAAAAACTGCTTTGCAACAACCTTTTTTTTAAGGAGGTTTTGTTGTCATCAAGTGCCTGTTCATGTATTCCTATCTCTGTGTCAATGATGTATATTTCTATTCTTTTGTATGCATATTGTATAACACACCATCATGAAACTTTTCATAGCAGCAGGAACGTCTTGTTGGGCTGGATGCAGAATGGAAAGTGGTGTTTGATTATGCACCACCAAGAGTGGCCCTGCTTCAAGTTGCCATTACAGATCAAGTGTTCCTTCTTGATATGATTGCTCTCTGTGATGCATTTCAAAAGCAAGACCTTGGATTTCTTTTGATGAATCTTATGCAAAATGAGAGTATCATTAAACTTGGTGAGACTCAAAATCCATGGACTAAAAGGCCTTTTTGATTCATTGTTATTGACATGCACTATTCCGAAATTAACAATTCTTTACAGGTTATGGTTTTGATGCTGACATGAAGGTCTTATCAAAACAGTTCCAAGCCTGCAAAAGCATCACTGATGAAGTGAAGAATCTAATTGACTTTGATTATTTTCACCACAGCGTCTTGCCTAATCACCTATATTTATGCTGCAATCATCATAATGGTAAGTTGTTGGTTTTGGGGTATGGGTCATTGGTACACCATTTAAAAAAAGAACTGAATGCATGCCCATTCTCCTTGAGTGGATATTATCTTTTCTTCTCTCTTTGCTTGGAATTCCATGCTGTAATCATGGCAAATTTCATGTAATATGAAAGCTCTCTGTCTTCTTTGATTCAGTAATCATGATTCATCTATTTTCCCCATTCTTTTCTCTACAGTTGTAAATGCCCTGTGCTTACATGTAGTATTCCACTTACTTAGGCATGCCAATCAAGAGTTCACTAAATGGCTTGGTGGAAATGATCTTGGGACAGCCTTTGGACAAGCGTGAGCAGTTTTCCAATTGGGAAAGGAGGCCCCTGAATCAATCACAACTTGTTTATGCTGGTAAGTTATAAAGTTATTGCTTGTGTTGCACTCATCTACCTAGCATCTATACCTCTGAAAAAAAAGCAGAAGTAACCAGATCTTTTAGCATTAGATGCATCTTTGGGCATAACATACTGGATGAACCTATTGTGGGCGCTGGAAACATGGCTTCCCTTTCTGCAATGTAGCACCACTCATATGCCCAGGTTGCAGTTTAGGCCAAATTGGGGATACTCCCTAATCAATGTGCATCCCATATTCTCTCTTGTGAGCACCCTACGCATGTAGCTCTAACGAAATGATGCCAGAATAGGTTGGTACCATCCATTTTCATTCAGTTTCTTTTTCCCCCACAGTAATTAGTACATATTTAAGGCCATAGCTAATGGTAAATTCCATTGAACCATAGTCACTCTAAACCAGTGCACTTGAAGCATGATGACAGCCATCAGACACCTGTCACTCCCTTACTGAGTAGATTTTTTTTTTGCTTGGGACCTTCCATTCATGCAACATCAAGGGTCAGATTATTGGCTCCTTATAATTTCACAATAAGAGTGAAAAAGTTTACTCATGACATGATTCGTGTGAGTAAAGCAAGTACTGAAATTAAACGTAACTTATGGCCAGCCATAATAGAATACAGCTATTAATCTATGTGTTAAGGATGGTCCAAGTTGATGGAACTGGAGGAGCATCACTTGTCTCATTAGAATCCAATTTTATAATTGGAACAAAAAGGTGCAAGATATTATTGCACCTATCTCTATTTTCTCCTGATGCAGAATCTGCAGCAGGAGAAATTTTCAAGCAGAATGCCTATATATTGCAGTGTATTTTGATTTTCATATGGGATATAACTCACAGCATACTTCTTGTCTTTGTTTGGATTGCCTTTTCTTGACCTTTGGTGACATTTCCAGGGAATCCACAGTAAATTTTCTGGTACTGTTTTGCACCTATAGCACAAAGGTTCTTTCTCCCTTGCCACTCAGGAGGGGCCCCTGCCCTTTTTCAATATCCATCTTATATAAAATATCTTCTCATAGCCTTACTTTCACATTCTAAATTTCAATAAAAATTTCTCAATTCTTATGCAAACATAGCCTGTGTATAATGCAAATTTAATTTTAAAATATCAGTTGTAAGAGCAGAGATTTTTTGGTTAAAAGTTGGGGGTTTTTTTTGTCATACCTTATGTAAATGGGCAAGTTTGATCAATTTTCTTCCTTCACTAGTCATTTCAGATGTGGAATGAATGCATTCAGTTATCTGCATACATAGATATTGTTTAAAAGCTGTCAACTGCTCATGAACCTTCCATGGATCGGGTAAATTTTGGGAATATGGCCCTTTGCAATATTTGCTCGAACAGGCTGAAGAATTAGTTTTGGAGAATTTTGAAAATATGATTGTATTTAGTAGCTGAAATGTTATGCCTTGTTCATCAATGTAGTATGTACAGGAAAACTGGATACATCAATGTTTTAAATGTTAGTTGTGTACTATTGCTCAATCTATGACACTAAAACTAAAATGAATCTTGAACATGAGTGCATATTTCCTAATAGCAGCATGGATACACTAACCATTTGTTCCAAGTTATTCTTTGATCTTTCCAGAGTGCTTGTGAAAAGTGCTAGATCTTTTACTTCCAGTTTGCAAGCAGTGTTGTCTACTTCATCATACAAGCCAATGTGGGGGAATATTGCCACCTTGATTAGGGGCAGTGGCATAGTGAGGGGAGGGCTTCAGCCCCCCCCCCAAGTTTGGTTCAAACCCCCCTGATTCCATCAAAATGTATCTGCTATCCCCCCCCCCTCAGGCAAGGAGAAGTAAGCCCCCAATGTTCCATTTTGCCCCTCCCCATTGGCAAAATCCTGGCTATGCCACTGATTAGGGGTAATAAGGACACTGCCTTGATTTCATAGGAGCACTGGTCTATCAGCAGTGTTATATTCCTATACTATGTGACCCCATAAAACAAGGGATCATCCTATCCTATACACATCCACTGGAGATCCATCGGACATTTGCATGAAATATACAGCAAATTTCTTCATGCAGTGCCTCTTGGACAACTGCTAGATGTTCTCCAGAACATTTTAGTTCCATGAAATTTGAATACATGTGAATATCTTGCATGCCTTTAAGTATTAATTTTTCCAATGACATAAACATTTTAATCTTTGGTGATATGCCCATGTGAATTTGCAACATTTTTTCTCATGCTATAGGACCTCATGCTATGGTTTGCACACTAAGTGAATTTTCACTTAGATCTCTGGGGGATCACTTCTCTTACTTCCAGACTCTCTAGACACAGCCTCCCAGTCACGTACAATACTACCCATAGCCAAAAGTGTTGCAATCCTGCTTCTCATGACAGCCCCTGAAGTCAGGTCATAGGATGAACTATCCACTGAAGAAGTTCAGGAAGCATGGAATGTTCATCATGATGCTGACTTCTTTCTTGTCCTAAATGCAGTTAATATTGTATTTTTCAAGTGCTATGTTGTTATGTTTTCTAGGTACTCTGTATGCTCAAGTGTGTTTTATTTGTACCCTGAGTTCTTTTTTGAGAAGTGGCCATATCTCTCTAATGCCTTACCATATTTCCCCAAATATAGGGGTAATATGGCCTCTAAGGAACAACTTGAAAAGGACCCAAATACTCATATCCCATGCTTTTTTTTGCATGTGTCTTGCTGAGATTGAATAAAGGAGTCATCAAACAACATGAAATTTTGGTTAAGTCAAATTTTGAAGTTCAAAAGTTCATTGAATTCTGAGACGGTCAAGCACAGGTAATCACTTCACTTGAGGTGGAATGATCCACCTCTAAGCACTTTTAATTCACCTCTAAATGGGTATTGCATGACTTAGGTAGGGGTGCTGAAGAAAAGCTGGCAAGCATTTCAACACTTTGTAACTGTCAAACATCAATCACTTATCCAATGTAATTTTTTATGCTGCATTTATGAAACTGTGTTTCTCCCATAGAAAACGGTAAAGCGTTTTTTTTTAACCACTCTATATATGAAGGGTTTATTTCAAATTGGAGTAGTGCACAAGCAGATTGATCTCCTATGTCAGAGATACAAGTACAAAAACAAAAATGGGTCAGAAAAAGTAGGAAAAAAAGACAAATAAAAGCATGAAGATGTTATGGTCACATTGAGGGCATCACAACAGGAAAAAATGTAATAAAGACATAAAAGGGTAAAAAAGGCAAAAATGGGGGAACTGATACAGGATAGGTCACAGCTTTGTTTAGTAACCTGATTGCACTGGGAACAGTAGAGTCATAACTGCATTTAATTTCACACAGGAGTTTGTCAGGTTGTGGCAAAGATTGTAGTTGGTCAGGGTCTGATAGGGGGGAAGAACCTGTTGATGGTCAGGTTTTCTCAAGAGAAATATAGGCCATAGGCCTCACTGCCAAATATAGGCACTATATTTGGCAGTGAGGATAGCTCTCCTTTCCTGCAGAGAAAGAAGTTTGAGGGAGGCAAGAGATGTGGATATGTGGAGTAACTGGAACTCGGCATGAGACACAGAGCATGCTTCTGAATTAGTCTGAGAGAATGGGTTTGAGAGGTTGTTAGGGATGAGTGCCAAAAAAGGAATCAGCATACTCCAAGACAGGGCAGATAGTCTGTCCACACTAGGACAAGCTCAGGTGTAGAGGCTCCAAAAGATTTCAAGACTTTCAACATGAAAATGTGTCTGTATGCTTTGGACAAGATATTCTTTGTGTTGGGGCCCATCTGATATCTGATTGAATCATCACACCTAGGAGGTGAACCACTTCTAATGATTATAGGCAGCCACCATTGATGGTCAGGTGATGAGCTGGGATGGGGTATTTTGTGAAGCAAAATTGAATTAGCCCCTTGACTGGGAAGGTTTTCACCATATGCATTTTTAACATATGGGAGGTCAGACGTCAAAAGGAGTCTAACCCAGTTAAGGGGTTAAAGAACACTTCTCAGGATTCAGTTTCATTTTTATTTCATTTTGACCATTCATGCTCTTGATCTAAGGCTTTCTGGAGGTAAGGGGGTCATTTTTGGGCTGGCCACAAATCATGGTTTTGTCATTCACATATTTGAACAACAAGGTTCTTTCTTGGAGATCATCATTGACCTCTAAAGATGTTCACCTGGTGACCCTTCATATACTAAATGTGTTCAGTTTGAGTATTGAAGAAGAGAAAATGGTCAAAGGACAAAAATGAAGAAAACAGCAATGCAGAGTTCTTGAAAAGCTCTTCTTTTCCCATCGCCATGCCTGCATATTTGCTTTTTATTCCTAGCAGAAGTCAGACAGGTGCTGAACATTTTTTTTAATTTGCTACAAGAATGCTTCATTTTCTTGCAGCTCTGGATGCATACTGTCTGTTGGAACTCTTCTGGTCTCTGGAAGAGCAGGCTCCAAACTTTGGTGCTGATGTCTTGGAATTGTTGAAGCCTCTAAAACAAGGAGTCAAGGCAAAGTCTAACAAATCTGGGAGAAGGAAAAAGGCAAAAGCACAAAGGGTTTGTACTTCTTTGTATTATACAGTTTTTGCCAGTGTGATCTGCCTTTTTATGCTGATAAAAATGTAAATGAGCTTTTTAGAATATATTTTTTGGCACATTGCTTACTTTATGGTAGCAAAATAGAATTGTACAAGGAGCACTCAAGTTTTGGTAACATGTTGCCCAAATTTCTATTTCTATTTTAGTTTATTTTCTTAAAAGTAAAAACTATAAACTTGATACCTGCACATCCTTTCAAGATACTTTATCCTGACATCCAAACATCATTTCATCCTTATAAGTGACTGATTAAACCTTCCATGGCACTCAGGCTGAGGTGTATTATAGTGATATGAATTGGAAGCATAGGTGAAGTCCTGATAACAGAAATGTTCAGCTCCAGTAAGTAACCCATGGGTTGAGGTTGAGGTCATTTGCCCTCTGGAATATTTTTTTAATGGTTACTGGACAAATTTTCTGTACATACAACTATTTCTTGTTTTCTTACCAATGCATGCTGAGTATACAATATACATTTTTTTATATGTAGGAATTGGCCAGTGTTGTCAAATTTACAACTGTAACAGGTATGTCAATGTACCGTGGACCCTTTTTTTTTTTAAGACAGGACTTGCAGTGGACCCTATGACTATGGATGTATTATGATGCACAAAGAAGAAGGGGGTGTCCACTTGGCACAGGCATCATTACAAATATCACAATTCCTCAGGTAGGGATCCTTCTACAGTCTTGGAGGCCATAGGGATAGCTCACAGGTTACCTAAGCCCACAACTGGCATGAGTGAATTTTAAGGTGCACTGCACCCATATTCCATAGACATGGTGTACAAAGTGGTGTGTGTGCATAATCTAACACTAAGTGAACACTTCCTATGAAAACAGGTGAGTTACCTGTTGACAGAGGAAGAGCCTCCCACAACCCTGACTTGATTCCTTGCCTCTATGTTTCACTCAGCAACAGTGGCATATATTGACTGAAGAATCAGGAAACAGGGGGAGCAGAGCAGGGGCACAAAACTCAACCTGAGCGATGTCAAGGGAAAAAATTATTACCTCCAAGGAGGCACCAGGCTCTATCCAATGGACATCAGGGGAGTGACCCCCCCCCCCCCTGTAAAATATGCCACTGCTCAGAAGTCCAAACCACTTAGCCACAAACTGAGTGGTCACTGACTGGTACCATGGACACTTTAATAGGTTGCTGATAGGATGCAGTGCTGTCTGGATGCTAGGAGAGAAAATCCTGAATGGGATGTGCACAAATAAAGTTTGTAGAATATGCCAATAGGAAAATAAAAATGTGAAACCAGGACTTCACTGAGTGCCCCTTAATTCCTCCTTCTGGAGTGATATGATAAAAAATGCAAGGTTTTTTTGGCTATTGAGCAAAATTTGTGTTACAAATTTCATTCATCTTTGTCAATAATTCCATATTTATGTATTTATTAAGGAATGGTATGCTTCCCATAATGGATTATGCAAAAGTTGTAGAAATGGACATGCAAGCTTTTCCCATCTCTGAATTGTTGACTTTTTGGGTGTCTAATATTTATCAGTCAAGGATTCAAGGTGCTATTTCATCATACTTGCAGGACCAAGAAGCCAGTGCTTCTATTGATGCTATTGCTGGTGATGCAAAATGTTCTACCAAAGAGGTATCATTGCATTCTAATGACCCATTATTTGCATCTCTATCAGCTGCAAGTACTTGTATATTTTGCATGTTGATCAGGTCATTCCCCTTTTTTTATGTTTTCTTGGTGACAGGAATCATTATGTAGTCTTCCAGCAAGGTCCTCAATCCCTGTGACACCAGCATCACAGTTTCGAGTTGTTGTTGACACAATGCTTCAAGGATTGGGTGAGATAAAGGCCCCCATGTCATTATGGTATATTTTATTAATTGCATTTTCTTTTCATTTTGTTCATTCACCGCCATTCTTGTTCAATCATGTTGTTTTCTATTGGAGTGGGACAGTTAGTATTTTTTTTACATGCTTCACAGGGAAACACATGCGACAGTGTGGAGTAGACTGCGCAGTTTTGGACAATAAACAGGACCATGCAGAATGTGTTAGGCTTTCCCTTAAAGAAGATCGGGTCATACTCACTCGGGGGAAGGTATTTGACCAGGTTTGTTGAAGTACCCCTTGCACTAAAATATCAAAATTTTCTTTTTGAGATATTGAGATCTGAGCCCTTGAAATTGCTTGTGCATCCTTAGAGACATTTTTGTTACTTGGATATGGCAATTCTGATCTCTCACAGCTGAGGCAATATGTACCAAAGGAGAGAATCTATAAAGTTGTTGAAGAGAAACCAATCAAGCAGTTGCAAGAAGTATTTGGTTTTTTCAATGTGGATGTTGAGGAGTCAGACATCTTCTCCTTGTGTCAGGTGAGCTTCTCCATATTTAGACATGATGGTAATTACAAATTGTACATATAGTTTCTTGGTAATTCTAGAAATTGCATGGAAATTGCAACATGCACTTCAATCAAATATGAGTGAGACTCAAATTGTATTGAAGAGCAAGGTATTAAGGTATTCAGGTCACTCAATTCAATAAATTCATCCAGGAAGTAATAGGGTAAAGTTTACTTCAATAGCTAGCCTGTATGGATTGCAGCATCAATGAATATGACTGAATAACATGTAATAGGGATCTCTAGGGAATACTTCAAAATGTGTGGTAGTACTGGGTGTTGCACATAGACAGCCTAAACTATATGAGCTAGGGAAAAAATTTAGACACATTTGGAATTCTTGTTCAGTTTTGATTCTATCCAATCCCATTTTGTTATTTGAGATGTCATATGATAATGAAGAACTTTGATTAATTGATTGCATCCGTGCTTTTACGTTAGGAGAAGCACCAGATATTCCTGAAACACTGAAACTTCCTAAAATTTCTTTTTCTTTATGCAGTATGTGGAAAATGAATGGCCTGTCCCAGATTACCTAAGCGCAAAGGTTCGTCTCGGGAACCATAAGCTCTTCATTAAGCGATAGTCCATTTATATTTTCCAGGGTCGCTTATCAATCAAAAGTTTCAATCTAATTAATCAAAAGCTATTCACGCAATTCGAAAATGTGACGTCACACATAGTGATGGTATATAGTCGTGAAGACGTGGACGATCGTCGCCATCGTTGATCGAGTAGTAAAATCTTCGTGGTGGTATTATTTTTTTGTGATCTGGTGAAGAAACCATGATTTTTTCAAGGCAGATGAGAAATGTTAATGTGCCACAATCATCTGCCTGGCGACTGTCCAACACTAACTTGTCGCTACGCACAGTTGCAAGAAGAGATATGCCAAATGTGACTCATTGGAGTAATATTATATATTACATTATTCATTAGTCCATGTTTGCATTACATAGTAGATAATGCTGCGCTACTTGATACTGCTCAAACTTCATATTTTGGGCATCTCACAGATATTGGCAAGGAATGGAAATCCATCGCGCACCGAATAGAAGGTAGAATCGTGAAAGATGTCACGCTTATTCGACTCCAGTGTCACCCCGATTAATATTTCATCTCGATTAAATAGAATTTGGCAACCCAAAGATGCCATTCCGAAAGGAAAGTGAACTATCAGGAAGCTGAAGACGAGACGGACCCATACACCCTTCATCTCCCTGTCGAAACTCCTGCTGAAGTCGCGTTTTGCATTCTTAGTCAAAGAAGATGAAGCAACGAAATGGAGTTTCCCGCCATCGCAGCACAGCATTCCGAGCGATGAAAAGGAGCAGGACATCTGCTCTAGAGCTCGGGGAACCGTTCTTCTTCGGAATGAGATATTTCATGTTTCTTCCACCCCACTTACTCTTAGAAGAAATCGTTCTGAATGTTCAAGAGAAGATACATTAGGACTCGAATTCTTTTGATGAAATCGATGTTATGCTATTTTGTGTATTATTGGTACCGATGGAGCAATAGCAGGACCCCAAGGGAAGGTTCTTGTCACCAGTTATCCACGGCCGTATTTGTTCCTCCCTTGATTTCTGTCATTTCCCGAAAGGTTTTCGTGGCATTAGTGTATGTGCAAAGGGAAGATCGCTGTCCAAACGAGCACAATGCCCCCTGTCCCCGCAGAGCTTCATATAAGGGAGAGGTAGTTGCTGAGATTATGATTAGGTGTTCTTACAAGTCTTATTTGACTGCATATCAGCAGTTCAGTACCTCCGTAGTAACCCATCGACTCTATGGACCTTTAGCACCCTCTACGAAACAAGACAATAAACAACTAGCCCAATCATGCGTGACCCATTGGCTGCACTTCGTTTTTCAAGATAAATACCTTACTTTGGCTGTAAAAGAAAACTTATTTGATCCAAGCACTGTCTCGCTCACCATGTCTTGCATTTCTTGGAGCTGTCTGCTTTCTGCAAAGTTTCATCTGGTTGAAAATTCTGTCGAAGCGCGAATTAAAACATTTCAGTTCGGGTGGGACAATATTTACATTATATGTTGTCAGACATTCGCGGGAGGCATCATGGCTGGGAGTGCTGTTTGTAGTCTCTGTGCATGTCTTGTTCATTATACCTTGAAGTCGTGTGCCGTAGTAGTTTTTGTTTCCGAGTCTAAGTCAATTATCTATCCTTCGCCCCGCTCTCATGTGACGCTCCAATAATAACGTGGAGAATGACAGATCGCCAAATATGTATGCAAGGTCTTGTCCAGCAGCGGAACTTCTTTGGTGTATATACCGACAAAGATTATTTTTAATTTATTGACAAAATACATGAAATATGAATAGGTGAAAAGGGGGGATATTCCGTAGATTGAGAAGAATGACTCAGGAATATGGTGTGGAAGTTTATTGGTGATTGAGACTCGTATTTTGAGCAGTGACCCCCCAAGTCTGCCAAAGACAGTGTCCCAATTTATTATTTATTTTATTATGAAATTCCATTAAATACCTCCCCAACCAAATAATTTTCATTGCAGAGATGTGGTAAGTTGTGAAGTTTGAGATAGTAGTATTCCCCCCAAAAAAATTGTTAATGAAACCGCGTGCTTAGAGAGACAGATATCCGGATAAGTACACAAGGAACCACCTCCTTCCTCCAAAGGCCGTTTCGGTATTCTTGTACAAAAGGATAGCTATGCGATCACCTCTATGTAAAAGCCCCCCTAAAGGTCATGTTTCGTGTGTCTCTTACAATTCCTTCAATGCGACTAGAGTGCAATCTAGAAAGGAAAGACACTCGAATGGATTCAAGGGTAGATTCATTCTTCGATCAGTGAGAATGAACAGAAGTAGGAATGCGCTTCGTCACGTAGTACCCCATGCTGAGCCATAGGCCCATAGCAGACCGCGACTGTCGTACGATGACACGAGACTAGAATCACCAGTGTTGTCACTGAAGCACGAACTCCTGGCGGGGGTCATACTTGCCGAAAGTGTGCCGCGACAGTGAAACACGTAGCTATCTGAAGTCACTTTATTACTGCTGTTTGCTTGGAGGAGTGAAATGCTTAGACCATTCATTTTTTGCACCCACCATAAACATGTTCATAAACTCAGGACACCGACATATTTGTTTTGAGTTACTGCAGACTTACCATACGGAGTAGAAAGTTGGAAATCTTGCAAAAACATGTTATACTCAACAAATGGCGCGAATGATTGATATGTGAAGCGCGTGTGCACTGCCTTCAGACTGGAAGTTACTGATTCAGTTGCCATTTATAGCGTTAAAATTAAAACAGCGAATATTTGTTGTCAAAGCTTCAAGCAGAATTCTTACGAAGATTGCCAACGTCAGTTTCGGGAGAAGTAAAGCACGCGTGATGCATCGCAGGAATATGCAAGAGGGAAAGCGATTTCGTAAGACAGAAAGGTTTTCAACGAACCACGCAATGGTAGACCTCTAGTGTCGAACGAACTAGTGCAAGACAGGACAGACTTCTGTGCCACATCTCACGAAACAGTCGTTGACACTCGTAAGAAATCTGCTTAAAGAAATTCGTAAGAAATCTGCTTCGACAATAGATGCGCTGCACTAATGTGAACGCCATAAATGGTAATTGACTCGACTTTCAATCTGGTAGCTGTGCGCATGCGCTGCTCATGCTAACCATCTATTGTTGAGCATAGTTTGAACTATTTTCGCAAATTTTCATAGTTTTATGCAATATGGCAATTACGTTGTAATACGATACGTGAGTGTCCTGACTATGAGCACCCTTTTTTGGATGTACTAGTAAGTTCTGCCGAGTCCGTTTTGTTTTTCTTCATGCCTTGACATTTTCAGCGATATTGAACTCAATCCAAGTTGCCCAGTGCTTTCTGAAAGAGTGGATGCTTGCTCTGCAGCATGTAATTCGCAAGCATGAAATGTACTTGCAGATTTGCAACAATGGGGATTTCATTGAAGTGCCCACCGAGTTTATGGTCACCATGCTTGATGGGAATTCCAGAGATGTCGTGACTTTAGGAAACTACCGTTTGGACATGACATCTGGTACTATCCTGGGTGCCAGCGCCAATGTTCGATTGCAACTCGATCATGTTCCCCGTGAAGTACCTCCTCGAGTTTGTTTGTTCTATGGTTGTGTATCCTGTGGAAAAATCTACTGGGACGGCTCCCATCTTGGAAGAGCAGTGTCGGGAAAATTCCGGGACATTCTGGGCATGAGAGTGACACAGTCCCAATATTGATGAATTTGCTCCACATATCCTGGTACTTTTTTCTCTCACTCGTCTCTTACTCTTATTACTGTTGATGGCAATTTTTGCGAGTGACTAGAAAGGTTTTTTTCCCCATACCTTGGCTGTTTCGTTCCGTTCCGAGTAGTGACAACTTGTCTATGATCAGAACAGATGGATGCATTATCCGGAAGCAAAGGTGGTTTAATTGCTGGTATGATGAAACTACAGGAAAGCCTTTTATATTATTGACATGAAACTCTGATTTATTTATTTATTTATTTGCTATTTCGATGCAGATTTGACTCTCACTGTACGTTCGCTCGATTAAAAACCATAAGAATAGGAAAATGACGTTCATGGTCCTATCTCTTGCTAAAGGCTTCTACGTAGGCTGGCTGAGGATTGCAGAAGGTAAGAGAAACGGGCCGTTTGGGAAAGAAGTTGGGTAATTCTTTCAGCTGCGGGATTAGCGCCTGCCTGAGAATATGAACGGCAGTTCAACATAGTTGCAACTTCTCCGACAGAGGTGATGAGACTTTTTTCGCCATGCAATCGGCTATAAATCCGCATAGGTGGAGATTGGGGGAATGATGGGTGGAAGCTTTTAAAGGAAATCAGACCGGATGTCCACGTCATACGGTCCTACCGTGGAGTGTTGCTGGGGAAAAGGGAATGAAGGGGCAGGAAATGCTCTCACCCTCGCCCTCCTTCCTTCCTCCCCCGCCAAGGGTGGGGGAGACGGAAGGAAGTTAGGTATCCCTAACCCCAGGAGCAGGTTCACATGAAGGCAACCCCTCATTCATTTCCTTCCTTTCAAGCTCTGCATAGTCTCCCCGACTCCTTGTCTGATTCTAAACTACTCTCGTCCGGTAACGTAACGGAGGAAGTATAGGCAGGAGTTGTCCTCATTTTCATTCGTTTCTCATCTTGCTTATCTGCTTTCCCGGATGTGTGTTCAAAAGCTGCCAGTTGCTCACGAACTTTCACGGATGTAGAAGAATGCGTGAATCCCAGATAAACTATCAGGCAAGAGGTATGAAAAATTAGTGACAGGTGAATCTCCTTTCTATACCTGGATGATGCCCTAGGACGGGGCCGTTAATCGTAATGAATGCCTTCGCCCGGCGAACCTATTCATGTCCTAAATTTGTTCCATTCGAGTAACGGAGGAGAAGAGAAAAATGGTCAAGGGACGGCGAAAGAGAAAAAGACGAGGCAGAGCCCTTGAAAAGCTCTTCTCTTCCCACGGCTATGCCTGCATGCTTGCTTTTCATTCCGTGTCCCCGCCGTTCCTTTCACGAAGATGAGTCCGCCTTGAAGAAATGCTTCGTGCTTGCCCTCTCATCTTTTTCTTTTGGAAGGTGGGGAATGGAGAGGAATAATAAAATAATGTATATAAAAAAAAACCCTAAGGGAAAAAAAGGTTGAAAAAAAAGTCATCTGATTCTTTTTGGGCTCCCTTGGTTGAGTGTTGATGATCTCTTTTCTTGCCTCGTAGACCCGAGAGTAACCCCTGTTTTGGGAGCAGGTGTCCCCTCCCATCTCGTCGACAAAACACTTGGGGATTCTCCTTGTCTCGCGAAAGAAGTTGCTGTGAACTGTCTTCTCCACTCGCGCGCTTGCCATTTCCATCTATTTTCCTTACAATTTAATGGCTCGTGTGCTCGAGTTGGCACTCCATATTAATTCTCATCGGAGACCAGTGACGAATTAATATTCATTTTCTTCACTTTTGCATTAGACCAGAATTATCCATAATTGAGCCATCATTATCTCCGTAATACGAGATTTAATGCATCTAATCAAAATGCCAATTATACTAGCAGAATTTCCGAGTATTCGATGAGAAAAAAATTAAAATACGACACTGCAGGTGACATAGACCCGTACAGTGTGTACCCTAATTCAATCCAGAAGTGAAATGCCTACTTATTCGCGTAGTAGGCCAACCGTTAGTGATTCAGCAGGGAACCCCTTAGACAGTTACGAGACCAGATTCGAATTCAGGAAGAGGGAAAGAGAGTTCAAGATGTAACGAAGTGAGAAAGGACTTTGGTTTAAGTGATTTCGGGTGCTGAAATAATCCTTCACCACGCTCGACTCAATTCCTGAATTATTCGAATAAACATCTACTGGAGTTAAGTTTATTATCCGCTTGATCATGGTTGACTTGAATATATTCGAATTTACTGTACCTCTGCAAATCCGTCTAATTGATGTCAGTTAGCTAGATGTAAGTTCGTGTGAAAATGAAAACATTTGATCATGTCATGTATCCTACCCTATGTTTATAATAATAATCAACTATCTTCAAGACGATCCTGATTGCCAGCACTGTGTCCCAATAAGGGCAAATGGTTTTTTAAAGAAATTTTTTACAGGGTTTTAAGATGTATTTGTTTTTAAATTGTTCCAGCTAAAACGTGAGTCGGAACAAAAGAAACTTTTCAACCTTTCCCATCCCTACTATCCCGCGGCGCATCGCATTTGTTATCTTTCAGGCTGAGATAGGCCCTTTCGCCAGAATCGTTTCCCATTATACCATTTGTCAGTAGAAAACTTGCCATCCATTAACTGAAGGTAGCCATCAGATATGAATGGTCCGGGGAAAGTTCAGTGGAATTTTTTTTATATTGATGATCTGAATAATGCTGTTAGCTTTCGAGGTACCCGCATCCCGCATGATAAGAGCTCTCTATTCAGAGCTCTCGGGGTTGTAGTCTGCGGAGTCCGAATCGAAAACGGCGGAAGTTTCACAGGAAACGTGGAAGGGCTGTGAAGGAAAAAATAAGAGAACGAGAGAGAAAATGAGAAGGGGGGGGGGGGGGGAGAGACGGAAAAAAGGAAGGATGGAAACCCTTGTACAGGGTGAAAGACGTCCGGATATCCCGTCCTGGCCTTGCTACCACTTGTTGCATTCCTCACACACACCCATAGGGCCCATATAGGCCTCAGGTCCCTTTCATGTGTGTTGTACGGAAAACCTTTCTGAGACGGGAAACTAGAGACTTTCCCTTCTTCCTTTCACTGGCCGTCTCGTTAATATTTTCCCTTTGTGTGCTGGCAGCCCCATTTGCCAGAGGTAGCCTTTCGCGGGGAGAGGCCCCGAAGATTCGTGGCGGATTCGTTATCGGACTAGGAAGCCGAAGGCGAGAGGATGGAAGGAACGAATTAGCCGGATCGTGTGAAAAGTTGAAAAGGAAAATGCTCACGAGAAAAGTAGGCTTCCCATTCCCAAGAGCAAAGCCTGGAACGGAACACGACTCCGGGTAAAGTAGTGAGTGGTACTAGAGTCTTAGAGGTGGTAAACTCTCATGGGAACCCGAACGCTTTTCTTTCCCACATTCGCGGAAAATGCGAGTCAATAAGAGCCCGAACTCCCTCCTCCTCCTCCTCACTTGATTCTTCATTCTTTGGCGACTTGATCCTGTTGTTGAACTGGCTGGGGGCTTTCTCGTTGACGTTATCATTCGTACAATCGTTTTTTTTTTCTTACCCCATGGGGGAATAAGCAACAGGAGAACTGAGTAATGACTGTGTCTTATCGCCGTCAAATTACTGGTATCAACACGCGCTGCCTTGTGCCTTCCACGCCCTCGACCCCTCTTTCATCTCCCATCTATCTCCCCCCCCCCCCCCCCCCCCCCCCCCCCCCCCCCCCCCCCCCCCCCCCCCCCCCTCCCACCTCCTCGGATTTCATATGTGTTTCCGTATCGACAGATCCATGAAGATGCTCTGATATCGCAAACACCGACAGCCAGTTTTTGTGTCTCGTTGCTTTGGATTTCTAGGGAAATTTCCCACCACAGAGAACACCGTTCCCATCCGCAGAACTTGTGACACAATTGGGTACTAGTGTGAGTATTGAGTACTAGTGTGCTCTTTCCCATTACTTGGAAAGGAGACTTAAATCCTCCGTCTTGCGAAAGGCGTTTCTGTCTCTCTCTTTGGTTTTGTCATTTGTCAGAAATGGATTTGTTTCACCCATTACTGAAAAACCGCATTTTTCCATGGTGTCGCATTGAAATTTTAATCGCCTTTCGCTTTCACCAGGCAGAGACGATGCAAGATCACTACGACCTGCGGCCACGCTGTGGGAAGAATATTCCCATCGTGGGAAAAAAAAAATCGCTTGAAACCGGCTACAGATCTGAAATGATTATCTGCTGCTACACAATTACAGTAGGAGCTCTCTTTAGGCCGACACTTGAAGGAACACTGACACTAATGACGCTGTCAGGAAATGGATTACAGTACTGCCGATATACGTGCACGCAACTTCCTGCATTGCTTCAGCTTTCGGGATTGAAGGGGTGTAAAAAAAAAATAGAGTGCCCCGTGTTCGATGAGAAAGGAGCGTGGGTTCCTTGGTCTTCATTATCTCAATGTAGCCGTGCAAAGTGCACCATGCGAGAGAGACCGAGCACGAGCCCTGCACACGCTTCACCCATTGTGTTGCACGCTTCGCTTGCGAACCACATCGAACCTTACCAACGTCTTTTCTCATCCCCTCTGACTCTAAAAGCCTCTCCCATTTCCCTCGGGAAATGGAAAATGGAGAAAGCTCCGCGTGTACCAGCTCCTATCGCAACTTTTCAGTTGATCATGAGTCGATCGCTCTTTTTCTCCATGGAAAGCGGATGTGAACGTGACGAGGGCGTCAACCGCCCGCCCGTGGGAAAGAAAACGAAGAGAAAGAGAAAAAAATCCCCCTCGTTCTCTGCAGCCAAAGCTGATTTCCGTTCGTCTAGGAGACGGACAGCATCGTCCTATCAGCATATCAGTCCCACCAGATATGCCCTCTCTGTGTAAACCGTGTAAACCCCATCCATCTCATACTCCTGGCATCCGTTAAAAGTCAAATCTTCTGCGCGATGCTTTCTGGTTCCTCATCTGGCTTTCTTTGCTTGCCATTCCCAATATTTATTCAATAAGGGCGTGGCCTTTCGATTCAATGCATGTTCTACTTTTTTCCCTTTGTCTCTCCTCTGCCCCTCGTCGGTTCTCAC